AATTAATATTAATCAAGATTATAATTAAAAAAAGTATAAAAAAAAACACTTCATAAGCTACTCTAAGGGTATGTTTGACAACTACATGATATGTGCATGCAAACAATTACCTAAAAAGATTGGTTAAGATGCTGTTTGGCAGTTGCTGAATGATTTGTTGTAGAATGATTAAGAGACTTTCATGATATAGTGCAAAATGAAATATAATTGTTTGGTAAGTGTTTACTATGAAATTAGTGCTCTTAGTGGTTAAGAGAGGCCCATGATACAAAATCATTCAGACGGTTTTAGAATCATTAAGAGACAACCTTTTTTTTTAACCAAACAAGATTCACCTCTTAATGATTCAGATCTTACATCTTAATAGAACTGTTAAGAGGTAAACAAACACCCTCTAACTTATAAATTAGCTTATTTTTATCAATTAATGCCTAAAAATAGAAATAAAAATATATCGATATTTATTACGATTGTCCTTCAAAGTAAAACATATTCACAACTTTCATAAAGTGACTCTAAATTCACGTGTCTCTTGATTTTGGGTCACACATGTTACATTTTACTCACAAAAATTATGAAACACCAACAATTATTTGAACCCTTTTTTCCAAAACTTCATGGCAACAATTGTTTTGTAATTCATGGAACTATTTATTTCAAATTTGATTAGATTTATGTGTTTTGTAACCGTTGGTATCAGGGTTAACTTATGAAGATCGTTATTAAACGGGACCCTAAATTCAACAGTCAAGAAAATCCTCTCGTAACCTTTTAGATTGTATTTGCTACATGGGACAAAACAGAACATGATTGAACAAAAATTACTGTCATACATTTGACGGAACATATGAAACAAAACATAAACTCACTATCCTATATTTGGCGTAACATGAGATAGGGACCGGGTGGGACAAGGTGGGACCCCAAAATAGGTGGAACAAGATTAGACAAAAACTAAATAAATTAATAATTAACTCAAATTTAAAATAATCATAATATGATATTTGTTTTAATAGTCACTACAATCCATAATCGTTGCTGACACCACCGACCGACCACCGTTACTCACCTCCACCATAACCACCACTACCACTACCACCACGTGTACCTTCAACACGTCCATCCAATCCAGTTATTTCCATTCATGTCTGCATACCTAACACTACCTTAAAATACTTAAACTAGTGAAATAAGCAAATCAAAAATCTTACTAGTTAAGCTACCGAAAAGCCGAACCAACCCGGTTTTGGTCAATTTAGCCAATCCGACCATGTCAAATCTTGATTCGTGAAATCTATAAAACCAGACTTATTTAATTTTAAATTGTCATCGAGCTTAAATAACCAGAATAACAATTCTTTATAGAACATATAACGGTTTTCTTGAAAAAAATGTCATAGTTTAGTAGTAGAGTAGCAAGAAATTGTTTGGATCCAAGAGAATGTTGACCGTGTGATCACATGAACGAATTTGACTCTCTTGATTACACATGCCACCCCTTATTAGTACTTTGCATGCATTTCTCATCCGACTACAACTCAAGAAAGAGAGGAAACAGTCATGGAGTTTGTTTTCAATTAAATTGGTTCAAACTTTGATTTTTTCTTCACTTTTTTTATATCTGGGTCTCGTTCAATTCTCTCGATCTCAATCGGGTTTTGCTTTGCTTTGCTTTGCTTAATTATGGAATTCACTCCTTTCTTTTTGGGTCGCATGTTGAACTTCCCAAATCTTTCACTTCAATTCTTTCCCCAAATTCAAATCCAAAAGCTTTGATTTCTGAGTTTTTATTATGCTTTGATCCACTTTAATTCTCTAATGTTTGTGGATTCGTGATATTGGGATTTGTGCCCTTAAGATGTTTGATATCTTGCTTCAGAGAAAACCATCAGCAAATGTAGTAGCGTAACTGATCCCTCGTCCCTTCTCTCTCTACATCTCTCTCTCTCTCTCTCTCTCTCTCTATATATATATATATATATATACGTATATATCTCAATTGGGTACTGTTTGATTGTTGTTATTTCAATTGGGTATTTCGATTTTGTGATGATGGAAGAAGATCATGATGAATTGAGATTTGTTTGTAAGTATTGCGATAAGAAGTATCCAAGTGGGAAGTCTCTAGGAGGACATATGAGGTCTCATGTGATTGCTGCTGCTGCTGCAGCAGCCGCTGCGAATTCCTCTGAATCTGATGAGAAATTTGCAAATCTTTCAACTTTGATGATCAATGGGAATGGAAACGATCCTTCTGGAAATGGGAATTCCAGTTCTTATGGGTTAAGAGAGAACCCTAAAAAAACTTGGAGAGCAGTTGGTTCTTCAACTTTTCCTTTCCCAAATGAGAAAGTTTGTAAGCAATGTGGAAAAGGGTTTCAATCTTTAAAAGCTTTATGTGGTCATATGGCTTGCCATTCTGACAAAGATAGAGGTATGAAGGATTATGATCATTCATGGACTAGTGAGAATCTTGATCATGACGATAAGGTTGTTACCGATAGTCAATCGGATACCGATGAACCCGAGCTGCAAGATCCGACACGAGTCACGAGATCGAAGTCGAAGAGGTACAAGAAACTTGTAGTTAAACCATATTCTTTTTCTTTAGCTAATACTAGCAATAACAGCAATTACAATTATGGGTCTTCTTCTGTTTCTGAGATTGATGAGCTTGAACAAGAAGAAGTAGCTATGTGTTTGATGATGTTGTCCAAGGATTCCACCAACTGGGCTGGTGTCGGTTTCGTGGTGGAATCCTCAGATAACAATTCTGCAGTTTTAGAGACGAAATCGTCTTCGATTGACATGAGAATCAGTAAGAAATCTAGTGTTTTAGATGCCGAAAGTTTTCAATTTGAGAATTCCAATTCTGGGTACTCTAGAAACGGAACTAGGAAGGTAGAATCCGATATTTCAGTTGAAGAGTTGCTTAGGAACGGTGATCGAAACAAGAATAAGTCCAAAGGGGGCCGAGAGTTGTCGTATGAGGAAAAACTTGAAATCCGAAGGAATTTGTTTAGAGAATTCGGGTATCGTGATCCTCTGAAGAAAAGAATCCGCAATGACGATGATTCATACAGTCCTGAATTAGAACGAGAGGCATCACATAAGAAGAAAAACAAGTATGAATGCTTAACTTGTAACAAGATTTTCTCTTCATTCCAAGGTCTTGGTGGGCATAGACCTTGCCACAAAAAGAACAATCTTTTTGCATCTTCTAAACACAATAATCGCGAAAACAGCTTAGAACACGAATATGGTCCTACTCGGAATCCCAAATACGAGAAGAAAATAAGGGTGAAAAAGAGCAAAGGGCACGAATGCCCGACCTGTTTCAGGATGTTTAAGTCAGGGCAAGCTTTAGGAGGTCACCGAAGGTCTCATTTCATTAACGGATCAATCGGTCACATTGCAGCCACGGAGAACGAGGCTCCTACGTGTTCTGACATGATCGATCTCAATCTACCTGCTCCAGAAGAGGACTAGGATCAAACGGCTCGTACCGGTAAAGATTTTATGTTGGTTCTTTTTTTTGCATATTTTGAGGACATGAAGAACTAGATACAGTTTAGATTTGCATTTTTCTGCTTATATTCATCAAATTCTTGCTATGTTTCTTGAAAATCTGTTCCAGTTTTACAGATTTTTGAAATGAAATCATCAAAGTTTTGTCTGAAAATGTTTTGGTTGATGGTTTTGCTTTACTGTTTGTATGATTTCATGTTTATGGTGATTTTACTGATTTTGTTTGAGGTGGGAGTCAAAAGTAAGGGGTTGTTTTAACCAAAAGGGTGGTACTTGATTGGTTTGAGCTTGGCTTTAAAGGTCAAAAGTGTCAGGAGGTCCCAAGTTCAAATCCAATGAGGAAGAAAAATCTCCTTGTGGCCACAGAGGTTCAAATACAGTGACTACAGTGCAAAGCAGATGGTTGCCCTGGGATTAGTCGGTTCGCAAAGCGGGTTGGATATCCAGGTTAATAAAAGAAAAATAAGGGGTTTCTTAAAACTCTAAGGCAAGATGTTGACCCAATAATTTCGCATTCAACTTAAAACTATGATAAAAGTTATTACTAACTGAATACTTATGCTTATAAATTTTATATTCTATCCATGTTCCCTTACCAAATGATTTTTTTGAAGTTGGTGTCTCTTGTTGGAAGAAAGCAAATGTACTATTAGTCATGCACAATGTACAATTTACAATGCAAGAAGGGTCCACAAAGGGGGATTTGACCTTGACCTCCTAACCATTTTTTAATGATGGGTCCAGTTTAATTTGATGGGACCTTAAGATAACATGAAAGATGGGTTGTTGGTAGCATTTTCAGCCGTTCAAAATGGATCGTTGATAAATGTCTTTCACTCGATAAGAGTCTTCTTCTTTGTTTACTGTGTAAGATTCTCACTCCTTGTTATGTCTCTTACCGGGGTTGTCCTTATCATGCTCACCTAGTGAAATAAGTGAAACTCGGTAAGCATTTACTCGGTAAGAGTTTGATAAATTAACAACCCCTTAGCAAGCGCAAGAGCTAAAGGTGTGATAGCATTTTAGATTATCTTAATATGGTCTAGGGAAAATATAAAAAAATATAAGAAAAATCTTGGCAATCATTTATCTATACGGTATGCACATGTACTTACAAGTAATTTGTAAGTAATTTTGCCAGTATGCGCATATGCATAACATTCATACGTGTATAGAAACTAGAAAACATCTTCAATTACTAATATGCATATGTACACATTTTTTATATCTTACATAATATTGGTGATGACATTTGAAAAGTGAACTGGTTAGACTATTTGGTTTGGCTCATCTTTAATGTTTATCGGGTAGGTGTTTACTGAGTGTTATTTATTTTATTAAGCGAGTATGATAAAATATGAAAATCTTATTTAATAAGAAGAATAGCAAGAACCAAGAATTTTACCCAATAAGTGAAATATAAGACTCTTACCTGATAAACGTTTACCAACAATATATTTTGATGATCAGAAATGTTACTGATAATATAATCGAGGATGCTGATTTTTACTGATAACTGCTTATCTGGTAAATGTTTAGTAAGGGGACTTAAAAGATTGCTTATTATATTTAACTTTGAAGAAATATGAAATTGATTTAATTGATTATGCTTGTATCATATAATGTTGGCTTCAATATAGAAGCATAGACACTTGGCTAAGGGGTCGTTTACCAAACGCTTACTCTGGTAAGTGAAGACTAAATCATATTATCTTATTGGATGAATATAGTAAGAACCAAGAATCTTACCGGATAAGAGAAAGTGAAGGACCAACAGTCTTACCCAGTAAGTGAGGGCGACGACTCTTACCATGGTAAGTGCTTACCGGGTAAATTGTTGCATACGAAACCGTTTTGGTGGACTAAAATCTTACCGGATAAGTAAATAGTAGTCTTAAATTTTACCGATAAACACTTACCGGATAAGTGTTTAGTAAACGTCCCCTGATTCATATGATTTATGTGTGTGAAATTCGTTTTTTACATATCACATTTACCAATAGGTTCAAGAAAAATAAAGAATAAAAAGACCAAAAAATAAAATTTATAAACTATAATTTTGGTTCCTCTCGCTTTTGATTGTGTAAAAGATAAAAAAAAATCAGTACAACGTTGAAAGTATTCATCATTTAACGGAATTTTTAACGGTCATAAGAGAGAGGAATCAAATCCGGACGTTTTACAAACTATGATGACCATTTTGTAATTTTAAAACTGTGAAAACAAAAAATGTTGTTTTTAACAAATCACAGTAACCAAAATTTATAGTTTAACACTTATAGACAGTACATTATTTAGATGATATGGTTACTTTCGACATATCTGACGTATTTAATCTTTTAGCCAAGTTTATTCAACGTTTTTTTTGTTCTCGTTATATAGTTTTGTGTGGTAACGTGGTTTATAATTTTTTGGAGAATGTGAAAGTGCACGAATGATCGTATGGGAATATGAATTAATGTGAGAAGTGTAAAAAATGATTTGGATTATTTGGTCATTTTTAATCTCAAACCAATGCATGAATTGCGTTTTAGAAGAAAATTTATACGGTATTACTCATTACGTTTGATCAAATGTTTCTTTTCAATCAAGATTGATCCAATTAGGAACCCAGCCGTGTGGGAGTATGTATAATTATAAATAATTTTTCACAAACATGTGCTTTCAAAAATAATACTAGAATAAAATTATAACAGTTCGGGGTCGTTTAACAAACGGTTACCCAAGTAAGCGCTTACCAAGTCACATTATCTTACCGGATGAATATGGTAAGCACCAAAAATCTTACCCGGTAAGAGCGAGACAAGGACCAAGAGTCTTATCCGGTAAGTGAGGACGACGGAGGAATAAAAATTCCCTTGTGACCACATAGATTCAAATGCGGTGACTTCGGGTTATCTGCAAAGCAGGTGGTCGTCCTGGGATTAGTCGGCTCACATAGCGGGTTGAATATCCATGTTAATAAAAAAAAAGTGAGGACGACGACTCTTACCACGGTAAACATTTGCCGTGTAAATTGTTGCATATGATGCCGTTTTAGTGGACTAAAATCTTACCTGGTAAATAAATGACAGTGTTAAATTTTACTAGTAATCACCTACCGAGCAAGTGTTTGATAAACGGTCTCTTAAACATATTTAGTCCTTTATCTCAAATATTTTACTCCATAAGTCCTAAAATAAATATCCACAATGAAAATAGATACAATTTAAGAATATGTAAATAAATAACACAATTTTTAAGAGCATCCCTAATATATTATTTAAAATGGTAAAAATCTGACTTTTGTTCCCTATTTTGCTCCAACAGATTCCCTATATTGTTCTCTATAATAGAGATGACTAAAGAAAACTCCAAGTTTAGAAAATATTCTAAAACTTGGTGTGTGGAGAGAGAAATTCATTTAAACCAATAAAATTGAATTATTATTATTTTATGTAATTTTTTTTAATAAAAATGTATTACAAAATATTTCACAAATATAAAAGATGTTGAAATCTCTAAAATAAATAACTATTGGAGTTAAATATAGTATTTTAAGAAATTTTATGTTTTAATTATTTGTTTTATAAAAAATTTAAAGAGTTTGTTGGGCATATTTAAATTAACAAAAAGACAATTTTACCCTTAATAATAGAGATTATAATTTAGTTTAATTTTAATAATGAATAATTTACTTTAGATTTAATAATACATATATCCATACTATATTATAAAACATTTGACAAAAACTCTTCAAAATATTTTTTTATACATGAAGTACTGTATATTGATGCATATTACTTAAAATTTAAGATTACAAGTAAGTTATGCATAAATACAACGTATTAAAGCTCCATGTTTGAATTTTTTGTAACTAACTGCGGATAAATATAATTAAATAGAGAATAAACATCTCATTTTAAAATATAAAAAATCTAAAATATAATTTGGATAATTATCGAGTTCTAACAAAATAATTAAGTGTTATCTTTATAATAAAATTATATTATTAAATCAAATATAAATTACTTCGTTATTGAACCTAAATTAAATTATAATAAAAAATGAATTAAAAAATTACACAAAAAATAGGAATTTTAAATAGTTAATTTAATACTAATATCGATATATTTTTGCCAAATTTTTATGATATTTTCAAATTTATATTTCAGACAAAAATAAAAACGTTATCATTTTTTTCAAAATCACATAAAACTATACTATAACATAGACTAAGACAAATAATAAAATTAAATATTAAAATCAAAATGTATCTCGCTGCATTGCACAAATACCCTTCTAATCCTTTATAAAGAAAACTTTTTAGCTCAATTTTTTTATATTATAATTTAATTTAGATATAATGACATAGCAATTTGTTTTAAGTGTAATACTATAATGTTTTTTTTTTATAAAAAACAATAATAAAATTTTCTGTTTGAACCCAGTCAACCAAATCATTATTATAATTATATTTTAGATTATTTATATTTAAAATGAGATTTTGTTCTATATTAGAATACGTTTATAAGTTAGTCATATGAATTTAAATATACTAGAAGGGAACTCGCTCAATGCAGCGATATATTATCTCGATTTTAATGTTTCGTTTTATTCCATCTTTGTAGATGTTATAATATGATTTTTATGTGATTTTGAGAAAATGATAATGTTTTTATTTTAAATAAGATATAAATTTCAAGATATCATATAATTTTAAAAAGAAATATATCAATATCAGTATCAAATTAACTATTTAATTTTTTATATGTAATTTCTTTAATTTAATTTTTATTATAATTTAATTTAGATAATAACAAAGTAATTTACTTTTGATTTTCATAATATAATTTTTTATAAGGCTGATAATTAAGTATTCTGTTAGAACTCAATAATTATCCTAATTATATTTTAGATTTTTTATATTTAAAATGAAATGTTTATCTTGTATTTGACTATGTTTATCTGCAGTTAGTTAC